TGGTCATATTCACCCACTTTGTTCAGAAAGCCAACTAAATATTGGCTAACACTTTACACATAACCCGAGACACACAAAATTAGAAAAATGAGAGAAGTAATAGGTCTACAGTTGTTTTTATTTCAAGCAAACCTTCCAAGAAACAATGCAAATATACAAAAGTAATAAAATCTAGATGTCCTCTTGGTGTAAAGTTGGAAGAAAGGCACTAAAGCTATCAAAAATATTTATAAATATTAGGAGTCATATTATATTTTTATTTGCTTTCAAACAGGAGCTGTGTGGCTCAGGGAAGGGAAACACTGACCTTTCACTTCTGTTCTCTCCAGCTTCAGTGCTGCTGCAGGCCCTAAGTGAAAATGAGTCTATTGGTCTCATCCAAACCTCAGCCCATGTTAGCCCACATTACAAAACACCAGAGAATCTGGCATGATCAGCAGTTTCTGCTCAAGAGAGGCCCAGGACTGCAATAGCAGAGGTGTTAGAGATCAGAATTTGGGAACGCTGGTTGAGTTACGTGGGAAAGCAAAATACTTGGTCTCCTGCTTTCATTGGGACTGTATTCACTTGCACAAAATAAACACAGTATGAACAATACAAAAAATATTTATATCACAGCAAATGATACTTATAAATAAGGCAAACAGCTCATTACCACCATTCACCCAAAGGTCACAGAGTGCTTTTAAAGCAGAAATTTAGCTGCACTGGTGAAGCAGTGTAACATCATTCTTATTTTACAGATGGAAAAACTGAGGCACACAGACACCTTCCTATCCAAGACCGCACAGGAAATCTGTGGCAAGACCAGCACAGGCTCCTGATCACAGGAGTCTGCATGTGGAGGGGTTTGGGGAGGACAGCTGAGCTCCCTTGCACTCAGATGCCTGTGGCAAGAGCTGAAGCATACACCAGCAAAAGGTCAGTGTATCCATTCTCCAAGCCATAAAGTTCCAGCCTGAAAAGAAATATAAATGCAATGAGATTTTTCTGAGGTTTTTCTTTTTCAAATATTAATTGTTTCTTGGCACCAAGAGTCATTTTTACATCAAAAATAGTAATGTATTACATACTGTTATTTACATAAGTTTGCACTGTCTCTAATTTGGAAAGTTTAATAAGAATATAAGGAAAACCTGTAGACCACTGGATATCAGCCTGATGCTGTCCTCTTAGCACCATGTGATGGTAAACTGTTCTAGCTGAAATAGGTGAATGTCCTCTTATGTCTCTGTTTCCAGGTTACTGTTTTGTTTTTTTTTTTTCCTGAACTGATATCCACATTACTTCGTCCTTACATCCTCTGAGCTGTAAACTAAATTAAACATTATTCTGGATCGTGGGCTTTTGACTATAAATGCAGCGGCTTGGAGTAAAAATCAACCACCCAGAAGAACCCAACCTAGGAGAAGCAATGCCTGGGTACTGTGACAGAAGTGATTTTTATGGGAATGAAGCCAGAGGAAAATCAGTTGCTCTATAGCTGAGGATCTCCCTGATCCTTTTGCAAGCCTCACAATATCATCAGCACATCACCACATGTGCACAGACCTGTCACTCCTGCAAACTATTTTCATTCCTCAGTCCCAGGTGCTTGGTCAACTGCTTTTGGTGACTCCAGTCCTTTCCTCCACACCTTTCATTTTTGAAGGCTCTCCCCTAATTTGCTGTTTGCTCTCCAAAAAAAAATGCTATACTATGAGTCATTAGGTCCCAAGTGGACTTCTCTGCAGATTCCTCATTTTAAAACAATTACTTGGATGCCTGTCACCCAGCTCCCCTGCATTACCATGAGCCCCATTAAGAGGAATTACTGGCTGAGGACACTGCCATGCTCACTAAGCACCAGCCTAGTGTTGGAAGCAGCACTGAGCTGTGGGGTTTCTCTGGACAGTCCTTGGCAAGAGGACCATCCACTGCAGGGAAGAAAGATGGGCTTTTTCTTAAAAACTGAATACCATATTTAACTGGTGTCCCTCACGTGAGCTTTCAGCCTGTGAGGAACAAGCCAGGAAGCAAAAGGAAGTCCCAGGGGACTCGGTGCAGCACAGCTTAGGATGCATGTGCCCCACAGCACATTCAGATGACTGCACCTCTGGCTGGCAGTGTGAAGCACCAGCAGAAATTATTGTGGAGAGGCCTCCAGGAAGAAAGCAAAGAGAGAGGAGTCACGCTGTGATGGCTTCTTCAGGGTGAGACATCTTGCTAGCTTTTAAAGCCAAAACACAGTGGAAGTGTTAATGCTGCTTAGGTTAAATATCTCACCTTCTTCAGACAACCCTGGGGAGTGAAACTCAAGTCTGAAATGAGAAAAGTTTCCCAAAGGTGAGTTCATAGATCACAAAATGCGGAGATGGAAAGAATCTATTCAATCATCTATTTCATCTCTCTGCCAGTTCAGAATTACTCCCCATGATGTTTTTAACATAACTGCTTTTCTCATTTGAAAAAAAGAAAAAGAAAGTGGGAAAAATGGGGGAGAAATGGTGTATGAGCTTTTCTATGAAAAACTGTGCGATTCCTTGACTTAGTTCTAGTGTCTCCTTTTGCTTTGTGCAGATGAGTTCAGCATGTGCCAGGATGAGGAGCAAACCAATATTTTCTGGAGGGACTCTTCCACCATTTGCAGCATCCAACAACTGGAAAAATCCTCCCAAGAAGTGGGTTGCATCTGCATTTTCTTAACTGTGTTAAATTTTTCCTCCCTTTGCATGAGACTGAGAAGTCACTCTTTCATTATAGCATTCTGTGTGGTTATGAACTAGCTAGCCTGGAAAGTGCTACCTAGTCTCCCCTATTTCAAATATTACATGCAGAATGAGACACACCTTTACTAAAATAATGGAAGTAAGCCATGAGTCTAAAAAGTGGTTTGGATGGTGCAGTTATGAAAGAAACCATCCCATTTCACTGTGGGGAAGAGAAGAACGAAGTATGCTTTTCACCTCTAACTGAGGATTCCACAAGTCTAACTTTTTTTTTTCCCAGTTTAATTTATGTCCATGTGTTACATAGTCTGGATCTCTTTTAAATGTCTGGTTGATCAGTGCAGCCTGTTTAATCCCCAGTACAAGTTTCCCTCTCAGAGTCAAGATGTACTGGGGCTCTTGCAGGGCTCCTTGACAATACATATATTTGGAACAACCTTGCCCATGCAAGAAAAGTTCAGAAAACTGAAGATAACACGTGTATTACTCAGAATGTCCTATCAACACATGCAAATGGTAACCTATGAGGGCAGGAAGACTTTCTCCCTGCTCCCTCTGACACAGATGCTGCAGTGGGAGCGGTGGCAGCAAGACTCTGGGTTTGTAGAAGTCCACTCTGGGGCTCCTCAGTCCATGCTATAGACACTAGGGCCACTTTCAGACTGCCAAGGTGTGAAACACTGGTATCAGTGTAACATCAGAGCCAAAAAAGCTTATTTTTTCAATTTAGAGTAACAAAAGTGAAGAACTTCTCGCTCCACTCATCTCTTGCATTCATCACCATGAAATGGAAGAACGCGTACAGAATCGTGCAACAAGCTGTCACATCAGCTTCAAAAGCAATGGCCCACACAAGCAAACTTCCCTACTGTACAGTCTTGTTATTTAAGATTATTTAATCAAAGGTGGCAGAAAGCAAGAGGTGGTTGTTGTTTATTAGTTCCTTTTTCCCCAGGAAAGCAATTCAGCCATTTCCAGAACCGGCCCGAGTGTTGACAGCAGTGTCTACCCACAGATACAAGGTATAAATTGCTTAATTATGCATGAAGATTATGGGAGCCATGTCAAGCCTGAGTCACCAGCAGTTATTTGAAAAGGTGAAACAAAAATGATTAGCAGATTCATTGGAAAGTGGTTACTGTAATTTTCCTTCAGGTGCATGTGGGTGTTGCTGTGTCTCCTGGCAGTACTGTGGCCACCTCCACAATGTGTGCAATGGCAGGGGCCAAACATAACTCAGGGCTTGGACATTGCAATATTAACAGCCTTCCAAGGGACAGTGCAAGGGAACAGAAGAAAAGGTGGATAATATGATTTCCTAAAAAAACAACAACAACAAAAAAAAAAAAAAAAAAAAAAAAAACAAAAAAAAAAAAAAAAAAAAAAAAAAAAAAAAAAAAAAAACCCAAAACAAAAAAACCAAAAAAAACCAAAAAAAAAAATCAGCCAAGCAAGTAAAGTCTTTAGCACTAAGGACCTTTCCCTCACCTGGTTTTATGCAGAAAGCTTTCAGCATTTCCAGAACTACCACTAAAATGGGGAATTCTCAGTGATACTCCATTTTGTGTAGTCTCATGCTGCTGGCAAGGGTTGAGCCCATGAGTGTGACTTTGAAGACAGAACGTACCTGTTGGATGTCATGGCACAGTGCAAGCTGCACAGTCCTACTGGGTAAGTCTAGTTTGGGCTCCTCTTCACTGGTGTCATTTTTGACTCCTCAGAGGATGTAGGTGCTATACTGGTACATGCTGCCACTAGTGAAGGCAGAGTTGCGCTTGAGGTATCACCACAGTAACCGTGTGATTAAAAAAAAAAAGAAACCCGTCTCTTGGTGTAGATTTCCAGCGCTTTGGGGAGTGCAGCAAACATTGCATTGGAAAAGAGCCTTCCTGCGGTGTTTGAGTTCCTGCACTTTCAATCCCTGCAGACAGCGGGGAAGTGGGTGGAAATTTAATAGTAATAAGAAATAGGGATAGTTAGCTTAATTGCTTTGACCTTCTGAAAAAGCTGAGGGGAAAATGCACAGAGAAGTTTCTTCCTTTTGTTTATTTATTTATTTTCCTTCCTTTCCCTCCTTTCCCTGCCTCCTCTCTCCCTTACCCTCCTCTCCTCCGCCACCCCATCCCATCCCATCCCACCCCATCCCATCCCATGCCTCCGCGGCCCGGCCCCGCCTCCCGCCATTCGCTCAGCCCTCCGCAGCCCCCGCGGCAGCATCACTTTTTCCGCTTTTAATTCCTCCCACCTTCGCCTTCCTCCCTCCCCGCGCCCGCTCCGCGCCCAGTTTCTCACCTTCTCCGCCGCCTCCCGCCACCCACGACGGGGGGGCCGCCGCGCCAGACCCGGCTCCCGCTCCGCTCCCGCTCCGTTCCTTCTCCGCTCCCGGTGCATTCCCGGCTCCGTTCCCGCTCTCGGTGCGTTCCCGCTCCGCTCCCGCGCAGCCCCCGCCGCGCCCCGTCGGTGACTCGGCAGCGCCACCCGCTGGCGGCCGCGGGAAGGGCAAGTCGGGGACGCTGAGGGCGCTGCGGGGCCCGGCCGGAGCAGGGCCGGCATGGCGATCACTGATAAACATCGATGCAGCCCTAGTCTGTCACCCGGGAGCCGCGCCCGCCTGCGCATCCCGGTGCCAGAGGCACCCCGGAGGGCGCTGGCCAGGATCTCTCACCAGTTCCTGCTGGTGTTATTCCGGGCAAGCAAGGTTGCACCAGGCACTGGAGTTACGCAGCACGATATGCAGAGCTGGGCAGCAACGTGCAAAGCTTGTTGCTAAAGCCCCAGTATTCCTGTCTCTACCTCTCCCGGGTTGTCCATTCCCATCTGGAGGCTGAGCCCAAGCCTGGCCTTGTCCTGCCCGTGGGAGGGATGGCAAAGGCCTGTGGCAGCTGGGGTGCCCTGCGGCTGTGCCCAGCGAGGGCAGCGTCTCTCGGCTGCCGTCTCTGTGTGCCACAGCTCCTCTTCCGCAGAGCGACCGTGTGGCAGGCACTGAAGGTCACAGGGATGCTCCTTCGGGAAACGCTCTCTGTCCTGGGTAAGCTCTCTGTCTGTGGTGCACACTCAGCAGTAGCCTCCAGGCAAAGCGTCTGGAATTAAAAACTTTCACATTATGCCTGTCCAAAAGGGACGTATTGATGGACTGGCAAAATACCAAACTTTGACAACTCTTTCCTTCCTTTGCTGGTTTGGTGGCACTGCCTTTTACAGCGCTTGTTGTACACTGACCTTCTCTAATGACCACAAACATGGCTAAAGAAGAAACCAGAACATTCTGTGGTGTGATGCAATTATAAAATCAGTTTTCCTAAAGAAGTTTTTCCTAAGGAAGTTTTAGATTCTTTATGTGACATTTTCTTAGCATCTGCAAGTCTGCACATAACACAGATTTAGCAACCTCTGAACTGTCTGGTGAGGTTCAAAGTGACAGTCACCCTTAAGCATGCGATATTCAGCTTAAAATTTATAAAAAACCCTCTATTTCTAGCTGTGGGCACCTGTCAGATATTGCACATTTGGTCTGACACTGAGTATTTGAAGTTGACGGTGAAGGAAATATACTTTAATGTTTGACAAACAAGGAGCTCTGCTTCTTTGAATCTGGTCAGGAGTTTGGAAGGCTAAAGCAATCTCAGAGCAGGGATTCATGAGCTCAGGTGTGTTACTCAAAGGTGAATGACAGATGAAATGTGCTACAGAGGTATGGAAAGGTTACCTAAATGGTAAGACTGGTCAGAGTAAAACCAACACCTTCTGGAAAAAAGGGTTCCAGTCTTCTTTTCTGGTATAAATCTCAAAATGCTTCAAGTAGCTAAAAGAAAATGCAGGGCAGCTAGCATGAGATTTATTTAAGAAAAAATATGCATGTGAAAAATCATAAAAATTTTTTTCTACTTTCTTTTTTTCAGTTTTCAAATTTCATCCTAGATTTTGGAAACAAAATCCAAGTAGTTCTCCATATGCCATGAGAAGGTGTATATGTACATTTTTGTTGCATTACTATTTAAGTTTTCTATTTTCCTGGACTACTTTGCCTCATTTATTAAGCTGAGCCTCATGTGCAGAATACAATAGAGGGTTACTTTTATCAGATGGAATTGTTGATACATTCATGCTCAGGGTTTCCTGGCTGGTTCAGTTTCTTATTCACTAGTTCCCTGCTGTAGCAGGGGTATCTCATGTTTGAAACCCTGCATGCTGGTGGGAAACATCCTGATCCTTTAGATGCTGCTGTAGGAAGATCCAGCTGAAACAACAGAGTGTGTGCTCAAGCAAGGGCTGCTCACGTGGGCAAGGATTTGAGTCATCCAAGCCCAAAAGGACTGGTAAGGAGAAGGAAGCTGTTTCATCAAAAACCTGGTAGCAGGACATGTAAATACATAACCAGGCAAAGAGGCTGATTTTGTGGATCATAGGCACAAGCACTTGTGCTGAACTGGGTGGTGTCATTTGGAAAGCACCGCAGAAAAGGTGCATACAGAGAGCTCTGAATCAAAGGTGCTTCGGTGTGTGATGTTGGGGTGGGTAGATGGAATAAAAGAAGTGCAAGCAGTGTTTGTTCTCCTTCTGAACCCAAAGTGGAATATCCTAGCATTAAAATCTGAGCTTTTTTAGGTGTAGCAGCACTGTGTGTGTGGCACTTGAGCTGGTGACAGCAGGTCCCTTTGCACGTGTCGAGGGCAGGGAGGCAGAATGTAGGCTCTTCTCTCAGATGCTCTAAATTTCACCAGCTGCATAGCAAACACAAGGCACTGCAGAGAGCAGCTTGCACCCTGGCTCAAGGGCTGCTCACCCTGGCAGGGCACTGCCAGCCTGCTGAGGCCACGAGGCCAGGAGAGCTGTGATTGCCCACCCCAGGGGCACATCCCAGACCAGGAGAGCTGTGAATGCCCACCCCAGGGGTATGTTGGATGCTCCTCTCTTCTAGCACTCCTCATCTCAATTAAGGCACAATGAAACGGGACCTTGCGCAGCAAACGTGCCAAGGGGTAACTTGAGATAAATGTGCAGCTGCACACATCTCCTGAAAGCGGGTGAGTTGCACATTTTGCAATTAGGGTGAGCTAATTGTATGTGCACAGGCAGTTGCCACAGCTCAGCTGATGGGTAGTAACTTATTAAACCACAGTAATGTGAGCACTTTGAGGCATGAAACCATACCCAAAGTATTTGCAGACTCAGGGCCTCAGAACCCATTGCCCTCCCATTCCCTTGCACCGTCATCTCGAGGACAGGGAGAGGAATTGAAAACCTGTGCTGTATATTCTGATGCAAGATGAATTCCCAAGGGATTCTTGGATTTCTAGCCAGAATTTCAAAGAATTTAACAATGTTTTCTTTTTAAATGACCATGAATCAAAATATTCATTTTAAGTGGGAATGTTTGGGAAAGAAAGAGTTCTGGAAATTTTCAGCATAAACACTAGTTCTTGTACGAAGACGTGAAGAGTGATATTCAGAAGGCCTAAATTTCCTCCAAGTCTCTGGACTTTGTGTTTCTTCAGCTAGAAATCTCTGGAAGCCTTGAGCCATCCAGAAGGGAACCTGTCCAATTTGGTGGAACTATGGCTGGACTTGCTAGTTTCTAGGAAGCTTGAGGAGAAAATTGTCTGCCAAATACTTTCACTCCTCTGCAATTTCCTCATTAGTTTTCTGTACACATGAATGTGACCTGACAGAGTTCAAATCAGCCAGGGGTTAGTTTGTTTGTTTATTTTCAGAATTTTCCTGGTGCCAACCCTGTTAGCAACACTGATGAAGTGAGCTTTGACCTGGACAGCATAGCTGAGATTCTGGCCCTGGTGATGTCAATGGGATCTTCCTATTGATCTTCAGACCAAGATTTCAACACACTGAGCCGCCTACAAGTGAGGATATAGAGATTATTTGGGGAAGCTTTTCTTTTAAATGACTTTTTAATTAAACTGGAGATAAAACCATTTGTGCTTGAGGCTAATGCATTGCTGAAGGAACTGAAACTCAGGCCTTATAATGGGGTATTTTTTGTGTGTGAGAGCAGATGGAGTGAACTAATAGAAACAACTGTAAAAAGCCTAAATGGTGGGAAATAGCAAAACAGTCCCTTGCAGCTGGGGCAGCAGGGGCCTGTGCTCCAGCGGGTGGCTGTCACACCAAAGTGTGTACGTCTGGTGGCACCACTTTGTGCTCTGCAAAGTGGGGCAATCTCAGGGCTGCAGCTGCAGCTGCCTCCTCACAGGTTTCCTCCCCCCAGCCTCTCTGCTGCCTTCGTGTCTCCCCTCCAAGAGGATACCATTAGAAAAAGAGCCAAAATTCCCCTTTCAGAGGAGTTCTTCAGCTTTCTGTCCTTCCCTATGATGGGTGGTGCCACCAACAGTGGGTGCACGCTCGCTAGAGACCAGAGTAGGAATGTGTATAACACCTTTGTGTGCATTCCCTCTGTTTATTTGCTGCCTGCTGTTATGCTCAGCGTTGCCCTGGAGATCACAACATTTCAGCAAACACCACCGTGTTGTGCTCCTAGCCGAGCCCTTTTCCCTCTTCCCTTCAGGGACAGAGTCACACTTGAAAAAAGAAAGCAGGTATCTAGTGCTGGCTGGACCTTCATGGCACTTTTTTACTATTTCCAAATAACTCCTAAGCTAAGACATCCCATACAAAATTTCAACCCAGGGCAGCTGTGTGCGTTCACACCAAGAACCAATGAGTAAGTTTTTTTTGAGGTAGCCTTAATTGTAGTTGGGAGAATGAAACCAGTGTAACATTTAAAGTGTGAACATAAAATATGGCAAATCGATCAGAGTATGGAACCACATTTGGAAAATATTCAGCTGATGGTGTTCCTGATCACATGTTAACAAATTTAAAAAAAAAATTAAAAATCACATGTGGAAATTTACTCCTCCAGCCAATGGAAAGAGATACTTTTCTATTTCATATTCAACAAAATTCCCTCACCTACTACCCAAATCACAGTTAAAAGGAGCCTAATTTATCTCTTAAAAAATAATTTTACAAGCCCTTATTCCTGCTCAGCAATCACACAGACATTAAATCTTATTGCAGAAAGGGAAAGGGGGGGAGAATGTCTCTTCTCAGCATTACAGCTGCAGCTGTTTGACAGAAGTAAGTGACTTCATAAACCATCCTGATTTGGCAGTAGAAGAGCAGAGTTTTATGCTGTCTGCTGTGCAGTCACGGGGCTGAGAAAGCTCTGCAAAGCAATCTTCATGAATGTTTCACCTCAGTTTATAATTACCTTTGCTTCACCATGTTATTGCCTCTTCTGCTTTGCTTTCCAGTCACCACCACTGGATCATCTACCAAAACCTTTTATTGCTTTTAAGTGATTGATCCCACTGGGCCCACATATTTTTCTTCTTCTTTTTCTTTGTCTTTTTTTTTTCTTTTCTCAACAGAGGATACTGCACTTACACCTCTCCATTGGCTAGTTGGCTTATTACGGTAAAATTCAGTAAAAGTCTAGCAGACTGTCTTTATTTACAACATAATCAGGCTGTATACCTTCTCATGAAAGAGTCCATACTTAAGCACTGTTTTCTCTGTCTCTCTCAAGTGTTCACTCAATAAAGAATTACTTGAAAACACATTTTCCTGAGCTGTGATGAAAACAGAGAGATTTCTGATGGTTGTCTTCTCAGCCTCGACATTTCTGTATTCATTTCAAGACCTTATTATTTAAGAATGAATTCTTGCTCCTCCAGAGCAACTTCTGGAGACATTCCCAGCTCCTAATAACATGATTTTGGTATGAGTTTGATATGAGAAGGCTATTCACTACTTTGCAGGAACACCATTTCCTCTGGGAAATCTTCACTGATGTAAAGTCAGCAGGAGCTCTCACTACAGTGAAATCTCCAGGATTCACCTTTCAAGGTATCTGTGATTTTTATAGGAGCGTTACAGCTCATAAGCTTTGCTTGTTTCTTGGGCAAGCTGCCTGCTCCCTCACATTGCCAGGGGATCTTGCAGGATTTGTCTCAGAGCAGATCAGACTGGAATATAAGAATCTGAGGGAAAAACTGCCAATGAACAAATGAGTTTCTCATTGATGGTCTTCAAACACTGGTGAGCTTCAAGTAAGTCTTTCTCAAATTGTTGTCCCTCTCTTTGTAAAGCCATATGACTACAGATGTTTCTTAACTCAATGCTATCCTAAAAGAACTAGCAAAAAGAAATGAGGGGAAAATACCGCTCCACAAGCATTCTAGGCATGATTTTCTAAGCAGAAATTTCCTAATTATGCATGTTTTCTGATTTAGTGTGAAAGATCTTCAGGTTTGAGATAAATGTATGTAACCATTAAATAACCACTGCAAAATGTCTTGGCAAGAAGTCCTAGATAGCAATTGCACCTTCTCAGTATCAATGGGCACCTACCTCTCCAGGCCTCAACAATTACTTTTTTAAAAAATTTATTTCTGCAAGACAGACTTTTTGCATCTGCCCTCAAGCAATTTAATTCACTCTACCCTATCAGGCATCGGTAGGACCTCAGGGCAATGTTACATCCAGAGGTGTCTCAATGGTTCCTGAGGGGACTTTGTGACAGCAGCCCTTGCTGAAGCATCACTTCCATGCGTCGTTCCTCATCTGTGATGTGAATGGGATCACCAGTGAGGCAGGGCAAGTCAACAGCTCTGCCCATTGCACACCAGAACTAATTCTGAAGGCTTCTCAGTCCCCCAGAGGTGGCATGGCCTGAAGCATGGAAAGCACTGCCCTAAAAGCTGCCAGTGATGGGGAAGCGCTCTGCATGGGATAAATGCATTCCTTTATGCAGTCAAACTAACATTGT